ACAGCACTGCTCATACACTGAGATTCTAGGATATTTATTGTATTAGCAATGTTTTTACAAGCCCAACAATTTTCTAATGGCTGTTCTTTTATGAAAACAACAACAACAACAAAACAGAAAACATTTCAGGGAAATGGGTCTCTGTAAGTTGGAATCTACTTTTTTTTTTTCTTTCTATTTTTGTGTGAAATGAAACTTTGAAGAATACACTATGCATTACTTTTGACCATGTTAATCAATGTGGGTTTCCACACAATCCTTAAATAAAAGGGTTTGTAAACAACAGTGAAAATAGACAAAATTCATTGTTCAGCTTTTCCATGGTTAGTCTCTTGCAATTGGCCACTATTACCTCTCCTTCTGGTCATGTGATCAAAATGCATTTCCCTATCCTCAGGACACAAAACACACTTCATGTCCACATTACTTGCTTTGGTTAATGAAATGTGAGGAGAGGTGACAGATGTCTCTTCAAGATGGAATCTTTAAAAGGAAATTCAGTTTGCTATTGTTCCCTGCCACCGTCAAGGCAACCAGCAGCATTCCAGATTGATAGAAGCTTCATCAACCTGGAGTGAGAAGATGTAGAGCAGAGTTCCCAGCTGTCTTGGGATGACAATGTAATATGATCAAGAAATATACATTTGTGTACTTATCTACTGTAATTTTGGAGGTGTTATCTCAGTATAACCTAGCCTATCCTGATTATGCTGAGTGTATAATTTTTAGAAATTCAAAGAATGCCTTTCTTTAAATTTTTAAAGAAGCACATGCTATAAGGAAGATAATGCTTCAAATCTTTTCACCAGAAAGAGATAGACTTTTTCTGGACTGGCTAGAGAGAAAGTGTAGAATCATGAATTTATGGTTAAATTATGTTCTTCAGACAGAAACTAACATTCACACTTTGCCTGATTCAGATGAACTGTTTTATTACCTAAGCTACTCAGAAAAATTGATCTAATTTATTGTCTTGCAAAACAAACCAAGGTTTTATAAAATAATATTCATTGTCAGACCCTTCTCATCTTCTTTTTTGTTAGTTGGGTGTGTGTGTGTGTGTGTGTGTGTGTGTGTGTATACACCTTCACATCCCCTCTCTTTTCTGTACAGTCACTTTCTCTCCACTTTACTTATATGGTATTCTCCTGTCTGACAACAAAAGAAAGTGATTATTACTACTTTATATAACAGATTCTGGTAAAGTAATTGTGCTTCTGTTTCCACGGTAATTTAGACTATTTCTGCTGTAAATGGAAAGCAAAGTTACATGTCAGCCTTATGGAATCTTTGCTAGTGATATCAGTTCCATTAGGTATTTCTAGACTACAAAGACTACCTGGACCATTTGTAATATAGATAAAATAGATCACATGTAACTTTAGGACAGTCCTACTGTGCTTCTCTGCTTTTTTCTGAGATCAGCCCAGAACAACAACTTGTGCGGTGTTTCTGTGAGTATAGATAAATGCATAGAAAACACAGTATATGTGTATATGTGTGTGCATGCGTGTATGATCATAAGTTTAAGGTAAAAAATACACTTTAATCAGCTAGAAATGATCATTTATCCATTTTTAAATTATGACAAATAATATAATAGTACTTGTTCATACATTCTCCAGAATTAACCATAATAAAAGTTATACACAGAGATATTTGCCAGAAGACCATGAGGACTTCCAGAAAAATCCATGTGGCAAAGTGTGTTCTTTATATTACTAATCAAAAGTAAATTCTTTGTCTCAAGCTACAGAGTTTTTTTTTTTTAAACTTTATAAAGCATTATGTTATGGTGTAATTTTTTTCAAAAAAATTTTGTTATTTGCAGAATACATTTTTTTCTGTAAAATAATGCTTTGGCACTAGGTGTAATAATTTTCATTTTCTTCTATGCCATATATATCAATATAGAGTATCTCTAAAGATATTCATAATGAAACAGACATGTATTATTCCACAGGATTAAAATGAATGGCTAGAAATAAGCTAATATCTCCTAAAATTAAACATGTATATTAATTTGAAAAGTATTTTACTTGGATAATTTATTATTTATTCATTTATTACAATGATCAACATAAATTACTTAACTTAAAATAATTTAAATTCATTTTTCACTATCAAATATTGACAGAAAATTCAGTAATGATTTTTTAAAAAATTTCCTCTATTGCCCAAACCTGTATATTTAAAAAGTTTATTTGACCATAACAATATCATAAATTTAAGTATTACTTGAATGGGCCACATTCCACATTTATATTTTATTCTTTGTGAATCAATGGCTTAGAATGGTATATATATGAATCAAGGATAGTTTGCTAATAAAACAATAATTTTGATACCATTTTAGACCTCATGATAGTTATGGTTCTCAACAGGGGATTTTTAAAAGAAAACTCCCCTACCGGAGTTACCCACATGCCAACCTGTGTCTTTTAAACATGAAAATCCACTTCATTATTCAGTGTCTTTATTAAGAAGACTGTTGACTTCAATGCTAAAAATGTCCTAAAGGATTTCTGATTGTTTCAGAAAATTCCTGAGCAGCCATTCTTCTGGTGATTAAACTGGTCACATGCCTTCAGTAGTCCAGGTTAAGGTAGGCACAGGTTGGGGATGTTATAGTTTCTGAGTACTCACTATGGGCTCAAACCCCTTTTGGCATTTTATGTAACTTACCATATTTAGTACTCATAATCAGTCTATTATGAAGCAGTTATCCCCTGATTCCAGAGGAGAGACTGGAGGAGGGGCTCAGGGAGGTGGGTAATGTGACAAGGTCCACATACCCAATAAGAAATAGAGTAAGAATTTATAATAAGCCTGTTTAGCTCTGATATCTGTATTATTCCACTATCTCATGTTGTTTCCCAGAGGTTACAATGGCTGGTTCACTAATTTAATGTTTATTTTTGAAATAATTGTTGGCAAGTAGTTGACCAATTATTTTCCTCCTACGAAATTAACTTAAAACATACAGGAGATGTATGATTCAAATTATCTCTTCATTTAAATTCATCAAGAATTTGACACAGTAAACTAAAAAGTGCTGAGGAAAACTTTATTAATGGGGCTGAAAATGTATAAGAAATGCCTCTGCATTTTGGACAGCTGCACTTCACTTATATCCTATTTAAGGAGGTTTGAACTAATTCTCAGAACTAAATGTGGCTATCCCCTGGTCTTTTTTTTCACACCCTTTTCTTTTCTTACTTTTTAAAGTGGTTTGATGTATTAGAGATGAAGCAGGTCCTTGATTCCTACCCATTTATCCAATATTTGGAAAAATCTGAGTTAGAACTATAATTTAATCTCTCCCTGTCAGCCAAAATGAAACCATAAATATAAGGGCATTTTATCTACTGTCTGTAGAGTCTGCTGCTTTGATCCTCCCTCATTCTCAAATCAAATCCCGGAAATATTTCTAATTCTAGCCTTATGATTCTCAGAGGGTGCTGCGCTTTTTATTTTCAAACTTATATAAAATCTTTTGGTATTTTTCCTCTCATGTTTATAATTTTGACTTTGATTTCTGCATTCACATTTTCTGTATTTTAAAGTAAGACCTTTCTACCATACCTTGTTCCTCTTTTAAGATTTGTTGCAAAATTCTAATTAACAGATTGAACAACAAAAGAACCCACTGAACACCCACTGGATTTTTTTTTTTTGAAGGAGGGGAAACATTCTATAAAAAACACTGAACACTTTAAGACACACACTGATGAACACCTACTTCTTAATGAAATTCATCACCACCTAAATTCAGTTCCTTCTTTGCCACATCATTGCTTCAAACCCCTACGCACAAACACCCTTGTAAGACCAGTTTTAATAAGCATATACACCATAATGTACATTTTCAAAAAAGCATTTGTAAAACTGGAAATCTTGGTTTGTATTTCAAAGAGACGAGATAATAATTTCTCTGATGTTTGACTTCCATTCAGTTGTGTCAGCGAGATGATTTACTCTGTGCCATCATAATTCAAAGACCATTTTAAAAATTATTTTGTCTTAAAATTAAAAAGATAATTTACCAGATTTTTTTTGTAGATGGTCTTAAGAAACAGATTTTTAGAAGCAAATTAGTAATGAAGAGAGGAAAGCTGAAAGCATACTAAAGAAAGCTGTATGATGGTCAGTAGAGAAGAGCAATGTTGAGTGGAGGTTTTTGTTTCACATAAAATACATGACAGGTAGTGTGCAGCCATTTTGTAACTTAAGTCCTAGAAGACATCACTTTGGGTTATACTTAGTATAGGTGTAAGCATACATACTATAGGTGAAAGAATGAAGAAACACTTGCTTATACATAATTTCTTAAGTTTCAGGGGGAAAAAAAGCCTAGCAATTTTTACATATGCAAGGTTTAGTCCATAAAGAGAATAGGAATATCTTATCTTCTATTCAGCTAACAGGTTTTAGCAGTTTTCTGAATACTTATGAGTAGCTCAGAAATTCATATAAGTTCATGTAATTCACACAGCATCTGTTGTGAAAAAAATAAAGTGATAATTTACATCCAATTAAAATATTTTTCATTAGATAAAATGCTTTAATAAACCAACAAATTTATATAAGAAAACATTATTCATTGGTAATAAAACAAGTCTTTCTATAGAGTATGCAAAAATTTGAAGACTGGTCAACTAGAAAAGGTGTGAGTTAGTCATTTACGTAAAATTTTAATCCGTTGAGTACTTTTTTTAAAACTGTGTGTCCTTATTGTCTTACAATTTGTGTAAGTTATTTAAAAAGCATAGTTGCTCATTGGATGCATTCTTATTAAACTGCTAAAAAATTGTATCTACCAAACCCCTTGTATCTAGCATAGAAGTAGAAATTTCAGGAGTGCTTCTTACACACAATCACCTTTCTGCCTTTTAAATGCTTGCCAATTGTACTATATAAGAATATATGCAGCCATGGCTTAAAAGGAAGTTAAGGGCTCTTTTTTTTTTTCATTTCTTTTTCTGATATAAGAATTCTTTACCTTTAAAAATAAGCTTATATTCAATTTGGCAGGAAATTATGCAAATACATTCTGTAAGGGCAGATTCCAATGGTAAAACATGAAATAAACTTAAGAAAAAGGGGGAGTCAAGTAAAGAGAAAGTTGGTGGGTCTTGCTATTTTTTTGTACTTTAAATATTTTTAGGCCTCTTCACCACTGCTGTTGGGTCATTTCTCTTAGCTATACTAAAGAGCCTTTGTCAGTCTGGAGGAGGCAGCCATGTGTCCATGAATGCTTATTTAGTATGGTGAGGACAGATGGCCTGGAATTGCTGAAGAAGACCTTAAGATATATTTAAAAGAGGAAAGGGAAAGAAACAATAAGGGAGGAAATAAATTAGAGAAGAGGCAAATGTGTGGCAAAGAAAAGTACACACACAAACACACACACATGCAAGCACATGCACACAAATGCAGACAGACTCTAAAGTGGTAAGTAGGACTTGATCTTTTTTTATAGATTTGTCTTTTCTGTAGAAATTTTAGTTTATATTGTTGTTGATTTGTTGTCTTCTTAGCAGAAACCTGACAATAACCATCACCACCATGCTAAGCTTAGTCTGTCCGTTGATGTGTAGTATACCTTTTACTTTTTATAGCACCCAAACTTGAAATGTGGATTTTGAATTGTAAAAGCTTGGGGGTTTACTTAAGTAAATATGAGTTAAATAGAAATCCCTGACAGCCTAAGAGTCAATGCTTTAACATAATTTATTTTAGAGTCTATCATAATTAATCTTGCTTAGCATTTCCACCGGCCGTTTTCTGTTATTTTAAGAAAATATACACACTATTGCCCAATCAAAACCTCATAAAGGAATATGTTATGTACATTGAGAAGAGGAGAGGAAGTGAGGGTGGGGAATGGATGGGCATGGGGACATGTGTTTTTACAAATATAAAGATGTGAGATGTTGTGAGATGACAAAAGTGACATTAGTGGATTTTTTGTTATGTATTTTTTTCAAGTTGTCATATTAACCTGTTCCTATTTTCTTCAAATTTATTCTATTTCAACCATGCTCTGACTTTGGCAGGTAACAGAGGACTATTGCTTCAACTGGCAGGTTTTCTATCGCTCATAAAACAAATATTAGATTCCAAATTTCTTCTTATTGCCTTCTGAGTTGTCATGGTTATCAAATGACACTTTCTCTAAATTTTCTCCTTTTTAACTGTTTTCTATGCTTTGTAAAAAACAGACTGCTTGAAAATCAAGAGAAAAATAAAAACCACCTCAAGTTTAGGTGCTAGAAGAAGCAAAAACAGCAAGAAACACAAGAGTAAGAAGGAAAGAAGTCTTTTGTTAACCACAACTTGAAATTTAAAAGATTTTATACCGAAGCATTAAATGCCACTAAGTACAAGAGGCCTAAAAAATACCTGCTTTATATAATGGTTCTCTATAGAAACCCTTGGTAACTTGCTGCCTGCTTAGTAAGTTACTCTTGCAATTGTGGTTAGAGATCTTCTGCAACAACCCCCACGCCCCATATCCCCATCAACCACCACCACCACCAATGAAAAGGCAGCCAGAATGCTGGATCATTCTGAAGTAAATATACGATTTTTTTTTATAAAGCACCTTTAAAAATAGAATAGCAAGTAGATTCATAAACAGAGCATTTAAAAATGTATAATGCTTTTGTCTTACAAAAACATCTGTTGCTCTGATGAGTGTTTTGAACATTGAGTGCTTTAGATTACCCCTCAAAAGGTGTGTTGGGTGGTGGCTCTCTGTGGACTCGGCTTCAGGGAGGTCAGCCTGACTCCTCGGCCTGTTGGCTCAGCAATTTCCCAGTGGTCAGCCAGTCTTACCATAATCACATGCTGGCGCCCCAAAGCCTGTTTCTTAACTGTACTCTGTACCTTCTAATGAAAGCATCCCAAAATATCTCCAGCCGCTCAAATTCTGGGGCAGCCGTGACCTCAGACTGGACTGCTGGACATATATTTGCTCAGACAGAATGGTTGAGAAAAATCTCCCTGCTGTGATGACTGAAATGCTTTCCCCTCTCTTTGCTAGTTTTTGTCACTTATAGCTTATGATTCCATACATGATTTCAAGTCTTTGACATGCAGCTGACTAGGAAGCCCTAATCCAACACACAGCACCACAGTTTCATGAAACTTGGAGCCTTTTATGACAAGGAAACAAAGAAAAACTAACTATAAAATAACTTTTTGTGTGTAAAGCAACAAATACAACAATTACAGCAATAAAAATTAACCTATGAAATTTAGAATAGATAAGTCATTTGACAGTTTTTTGAAAAATGGTGTTTACTCTTCTCTGCAGATAGAAAATAGTATGATTGTTTTTAAGTAACATTCCCAATTTAATTTATGAGGCCCTACACCAAAGCGGCTGTGGATAAATGAATGCTATTGGACTTTATTACAGTCTTTTAGGTTAGCCTTCAGAAGGTCTGAGGATAATAAAACCAAATGAGGAGGGGGTCACTTCTCATGAAAATTTCAACTCTATTAGCAGGCAAGCAAAAAGGAGCTGTATCTGAACTCAACAGGTGTTCCCCTAGGTACTTTTCAAGCTTTTGTGTGATCAAATAAGATAACAGTGTCTTTCCTATGTGGCTTGAATAGAAAAAATATTTTCATAGCTTGTTAAGGAAATGAGCAAAAAATAAAACTTAAAGAAAAACCAGAGACATTTATATTGTTATTTCACCATGTTTTATGTGCATTTTGAAAGCTTCAAAGTCTGTTTTCAGAATAATGCTTACAAATATACAGCACAATTTACACAACTTGACTCTTACATTAGTCAGAGCATATGTTTGAATTAACCTCTTGGTAGTAAACCTTTTATTTTCTTCAAGGAAAAAATATTAGTTGTTAAAAAAGTAAAACAAAATATACTGACATGATTTTGTTCAACCGTAATACATTATTGTTTATATGATAGTGACTTTCTCCCTACAAATATGCTTCATAAATGTGATTAAATGAGAAAGGGAAAAATTTTTTTTTATTATCTCATCCCTGGAAAGCTTCATTGCTTAAGCTACACTTACTTACGTCTAAGTATTACAGTATTAAAACAGGTTAGTATGTTGTATAGCAAGTAACTAAAAAGACGCTAATAGGGATTCCCACCACGCACTTAAATACAGCTTTGCAAAAATAATTCCTTTATTACTTATATAAAAGAATATTAAAGTCCCCAAATCTGATTCAGCCTTTCAATAATGAACTCATTTCCTTATAATAAGATTCAGAGTTCAAATCCATGTACCTCACTTTGCTGAGTCTGTTTTCACAATGTAAGAAAAAAAAATATATATATATATAGTATGCAAAAACGTATACAATAAATACAGATTATATATGTTTATGCATTTACCATTATGTATGTAATGATAAGCCACTTCTTACAACAAGGAAAAAATGCACACATTCAGTTTAGCTTAGGAATTCTCTGGATCTTTGGCTACTATTTTCTTGTGTTTCTTTCTCCCACTGGGGAAAATGAGTAAGGCAGACCTGATAAGCCACAAGGAGTGTTGAAAACAGGTAAAAATCAGTTTACCTCACTAATTTTTGACATGCTGCTTTCTTTTACTGCAGAACTCTTTTTTTCTTTTCAGAATCAGTTAATTTTCTTTTTTGCAATCTATTTTTTCCCTTAGAAAGTAACCCCTTGTGTCCCACCTTAGGCTCCTCACTGAATGATCTCTTTTTCTTCTAATTATATTTCTTCACCTTGGGAGGGACTCACACTGCTGCAGGATAAGCAACCCAGCAGAGCCTAAGGTCAGGTGTGCCCTAGAATCTAACTCTAGAAATTACAATCATGGAATAGGAGTAGGAGAGGGAAAGAATAGGCAGAGTGGGGAATTTGTAATGATATTGAGGCTCATTCTAAAGAATAATTAACCGAACAACATCCTATGTTGCATCATTTGCTTGAAATCTCTGAGGACAGAATAAGGAATTTAGGAAGCTGATCTGAATCTGCTTTCTAAAAGTCACAGGGTCAGCAAATTACTTGTATCAATAGCAAACCCTTAGAGTTTCATTTCATAAGTATTTTTTGCTTTGGATTCCAAAAATCTGAGTTCTATTCATGAACAGGCAAAACTCAGTGTGCCAATGGCGTATTATGTATTTAAGATAATCAAATTAACAACATCTAAAGAAGAAGAAATAGACTTAATTTGATAGGTGGTTTTTATTCCTTTTAAATAATGGGGCTCAATAAAGCAACCAGTGGGGACCAGCAAACAAGATTTCCAAGATAATTCTTGAAGTGAAAGGAACTTCTATTTGGGGAGAAGTATTGGGATCTTGTGAAACATAAAATCTTCAGGTAGAGGAATTGTAGGTAGAAAACGGAGAAACATTAGCAGAGCTTTTAAACCAAATCTTCAGCTGGGCTTTTGTTTAACACATATGCAAATTTGTGCACTGCTTCACTTGAATATTTATTTACTGCATTTGTGAAGGAAATTGGGGGATTATAGCCTCTTCCCAGCTGTGTTTTAGTTAATGACTGGTCAGCCTATTAGCCTGCTCTACTAAACGGATTCTCTGCACAAGCAACACCTTTTTTTGCCCTGACTAGAAATTATTCACATAAACAACAGTGGGGGAAAACAGCAGACCAGATCCAGGGAGAGTTGTCTACCAAAGATGAAAATATTCCCCCCAAATCATTAGAAATAAGCAAAAAGTTATTTGATGATGGTGACTTCTGTATTTTTATAATAAACAAAGTAAACTTTTGCTATCAAATGTTATGGGGGAAAGAGGGAGTTTCTCAAAGTGGGTCTTTACTGAAAAGGGATTCAGGATGATGTCCTAAGTGGCCTTTGTCTTCCTTTCCTTGTACTTGCTCATTAGTTGCCCCCTATAAGCACAGACATGTTCATCAATGAAAGTTTCATAAATTATCAGGGTAATTGTTAATATTTGACATATTCATTGGGAGCCTGAATTCACTATTTCCCCCTATCTTCTCACTGCCAAAGAGACAGAAGGAGAAAGAGTAAATAACATTTCTCTAGCAACCAAACACAATGTACTCTCATTGTTCAAACCAACTCATTTACAGGCATCAGTCCTGGTTTTGAGATAAAAGACTTGTATCGTAACAAGCTCATTTCTAAAGTTTACTAGTGAGCAAATCTTTAGATCAAAAACCTCTAATATAATAACCTTTGTCTAGCATTCTAGCCTTTATTGATAAGAAAACGTAACATCTTTTTTCTAGTAAGTTTATATGTCTCAATCAATAGGGAAAAATATATCTTATTCCTGAAGTGTTTGTCTTCTTTAAATCCTTTCAAATGTTATTAAATGTAGATTCATCCTTGTGGATGAGAACATGCACTAATTCTAATACAGGCAGAGTTAATCCATGGAAATGAATGAGCCAAATTCTTACTACCAAAGTTCTGAATTTTTCTGGC